GAGGGATGCATGGGAAGCGGGCAGAGGTGTTGGGAGGCTGATGTTTTGAAGTGTTGCTTTGGTGAGCTTTGAAGCTGAGAAGGACTTGAATGGCTAACAACTTCGGAATCCTCTGTACTCCCTAACAGGGGTTACTGTTGTTCTCGATTCTATAGTCCCATAAAGCCAGTTTTTCTTCTTGTTGGGGTAGGAAAGCGAATGGCATTTGTGTAGAGAGTGGCTTCTGAGGTGGAGTTCCAGGTACTGACCACTGCCTGCCCTTGCCAGGTGGTCTTGTTCTTTTCTTCCTCCCCCTGTTTTCCTTGCTCATGGCCTCGTTTCCCGCATTTTCACTTTCCTTTGCCTTCATCTCCTTCCTCTCTGTAGAGCCTAAGCTTCAGGCTTGGTCACAGCGTGGCCCTGCTCACTCCCTGCGGTGGAGCTGGACCGACCCGTCCTCGTGCAGTGAGGTCGGGCTCTGCTGGGGCTCTGAGAGTGCTGGGGCCTCCGGGGCTGTCGGCTGCAGTTCTCCAGACGCTCCGCAGCCAGGCCCTTTGGGAAGCTGGTTCGCCTTCTGCCATGAGGCCGTAGTGCTTTTGCTAGAACTAAAGTTCCTCAGAATTGTAATTATTTTTTGAAGTAATATTTTGGTTGCTTAAGTTTTCAGAGACAATTCTAAACTGATCTAGAGACTCATTCAGCAGCAATGACCTTTTTAAAACTTACATTAAGTAAACTGCCAGTAGCTTAAATCACATGTATGTCAGAGCCTCCTCTGTTCTCTACTGTGGGACTTCAAATGTTTTTAAGTGTGCTCTTTATTAAATGCTTGTGCAGGTTTTGTAATTCAGTACAGAAAGTTTAACCTTGTAATGTACATTTTTTTTGTATGTAAAAAGTCTTTTAAGTAGCCTTATCCTTATTTAAATAAACTGAATAAAATTATTGAGTAGGTCTGTCGTTCGTAAAAAAAAATAAAATGAAAAAATACTCTGTAATGACTTGATCTCTTTTTATTTGAGTAAGTGCTATTGAAAGGTGTCACTTTTATAGTAAAAAGTCTGTTTCTGGACTGATTGAGCTCCAGCATGATTCCGATAGTCCCCCCATCTCGGGGTGCTGCTGTCCAAGGAGCATGGCTGGAGTGGCCTGGCATTCAGGACTCCCTGGTGCAGCAGAGGCTGACACTGACCACTGCTGTGCTTGGGGAGGGAGACACGGTCCCAAACCTCATCCCTTGTAAGCTTTCTTTTTTTAAAAAAAAATGTGTGTGTGTGTGTGTGTGTGTGTGTGTGTATACACACACACACACAAATTGATTTTAGAGAGGAAGGGAGAGGGAGAGAGAGAAACATCAATGGTTAGAATCAAAATTGGCTGCCTCCTGCAGCCCTCCCGCCCCCACCGGGGATCGAGCCATAGGCCGACGCTCAACCACTGAGCCATGCCGGCTGGGCCCTTGTAAGCTTTCTTCACTGGGGCAAACCAGAGATTCGTTGAGGGCTTATTTGTGTTTGCGTGGTCTTAAGAAAGTTAATTTCTAAACTGGTGTCTTAATGTTGATAGCAAAGCTCTAAATTAACTAGGGAAAGCCTCAGGTCACCTGCCTTGAACTTAAAAATTAGATCCTTGATTTTTTTTTTGTCTGGACAGAAGCGACCAAAAAATTTTATTTCCATTTAGATTTTTACTAATGTGTTCTAATGTGTACTAACTGAAGTGCTTTGCCCTGCCAGTTGTTATAAAGTTGGTTGTCTTCCCTGTTGTGGCAGAAGAAATAAAGATGTGAATTAAGTTCTCCTAAAGAAAAGACAGGCAAGTGAACAGGAATGATGGGTAATTATAATGAGAGGAAAAAAAATCAGGCTTAGGGTGAGAAACTATTTAAATCTAGTGGTTAGGAAAGCCTCTTTGAAACGCTGGTATTTTAAGGGGTGACAGCTCTGGGAAGCTTTTGGGAAAAATATCCTATAAATGGTAGATTGTGATCAAGCAAATGCTTCTACTGTCACTCCTGGACCCCTGCTGCAGCAGTGATGGGGAAGAAGCTAGAAAAATATGCCCCACTGACAGCCACCCACTCCCCATCCAGCTGCCAGGTGACTGACTGCATGAGGTCCCAGGGCAGACAGCCCAGATAGCTGACTCGCAGAATCGCAGGGAATAGAAGGGGCGGTGCTAAGCCACTAAGCGCTGGGGATGGTTTGCTACCCAGCACCAGATAACAGACATCAGTCTCCATGGTGAAGTGAATACCTGAGTCTTCGTAGGTTTTTAGATCAAAAAGACTAGTGGGGAGGGTAGTATGAAATGAAGTCAGAGAAGGTAGGCCAAAGCCAGAGAAAGGTGGACCTTAGGCCATAAAGGACCTCGAATGTGATGCTAAGAGAAATTGGAAGCTGTTTGTTAGCGCTGTTCAGACTTGACCAAGTTGAATCAAAAGACAGAAACAAGACTGGTTGTGTACAATAGCATGAAATGTTTTTTAATCTCTAATAAAATTAACCAGGTGCCTTGTTTTTTAGCCTTTGGGTACATGGTTTGAACCAAACTATTTACATTTCTTTGACTAATAATTAAACCTTAGAAGACTAAAATACCAGGTACGCTTAAAGATGGTTTTATAAATATAAGAACACCAACTCTAACTAAGCCTTCTGTTATGTCTATCCTGCCCTGCTACATACTTTTTTTGAAATAAACTTTTTTAAAAAATATTTTATTGATTTTTTACAGAGAGGAAGAGAGAGAGAGAGTTAGAAACATCGATGAGAGAAAAACATCGACCAGCTGCCTCCTGTACATCTCCTACTGGGGATGTGCCCGCAACCCAGGTACATGCCCTTGACCGGAATCGAACCCGGGACCTTTCAGTCCGCAGGCCGACGCTCTATCCACTGAGCCAAACCGGTTTTGGCTGAAATAAACTTTTAAAACATAAACCTTGTAGCGTTTTCGGTGTATAGAAATATTGCTGGCTGAGGCGGTATTGAGAGTTTCCCTCTCCCGACAGCTTCCTGCCACTGATCTGCCTTAGTCTGGTGCCTTCCTGAGACTAATCAGTACTGATACATTGTTAGCTAAAGTCCATAACTTTGTGAAGGTTTTCTTAGTTTTTACCAAATGTCCCTTTTCTGTCCCAGGATACCACCTTACCTTTAGTTTTCATAATAACTCCTTAGAGTCAGCTGGGCTGACAGTGTCTCAGACTCTCCTTAAATTTCTCAGCCTTGACAATGGGGAGCATATTGGTTAGTTGTTTTGAAGAATGCCCCTCAGTTGGACTTGTCTCGGGTTTTTTGCATGATGAGACAGGTTACGAGTTTCAGGAAGATGGGAGGAAAGAGCCGTTCCATCCTGTTGTATTAGGGTGCATTCTCTATCGGCTTTAACCCTTTCGAGGGGACCCTCGGCCACCGGCTCAGGCACTGTCAGGTCACATGGGGTCACTTTCCTCCTCTCACGCTGTGCTCGGGAGGGGGTCACGGGAGGAGCGTGGAGTACGCTTCACCTTGCTGGCCAGCGGCCACATAGCCCACTTGGAATTCTCTGCAGAATTGTCTGTTCTCCCCCTTTTAAAATTTAATAATCATCTCTGTGGACTCAGACACTTGCAGTTTGGGTAATGACATCATGCTTTCTTGTTGGTTTTGCTCAGATCCCCCTGGCCCTGGCCACTGAGAACGGTCTCAGTTGGCCGCTGTGTCCCTCTGATCTAGCCATCCTGTGGCTTCTCCGGAGCACCGCCTTACTTTCTGGTGGAGCAATGCTCCAGGTTCCTCTTGCATGTGTCCTGTCCCAGTCTCTCCAAGGAGCCTTGGTTCCTGTTCTTGCAGGATGGCGTTGGAAAGCAAGATCTGGGCACTAGGGTGCTCATTGATACTGGGGTGTCGTTGCTTCTGGGCCGCAACTGACAGAGCAAGGAAATACATATGTGTTTATACTGACCCTGGTATGTGCACACATCTGCGTGTTTTCATATGTAAGCATCTCTATAGTAAGCTAAACATGAGGTCATACTGTGTGGACCACTGTAGGCCTCCTGTGCTTGTTTCTAAGTGCCCGCCCCAAAAATGAGAAGCCAGGCTCCCACCACCCACTGTCCACTTACTTACCTGTTTGCTTCTGGTACCCAGGTGCAGCGGTGGCCGCTGTTCACCGGTGCCCGTGTGGGAAACAACACCATCAGCTAAATGGAGTGCAGTGATTTATACAATTCCTCTGCCTCTGTCCTTTCAGACTCCACTCATTTCCAGTGTTAAGTCATGTCGCTTAAAAATATGGGAGTTTTATATTTTAATGAACAAGAGGATGTCAAGTTAACTTTTCTCTGTTTGATTGATTGATGAGGGGGAGAGAGAGAGAGAGAGAGACCGGTTTGTCGTTCCACTTATTTACGCATTCATTGGTTGGTTCTTCTACGTGCCCCGATGGGTCGATGCTCTAACTAATGTGAACGCCCTGTTCCTGGCCACACACACCATTAGTGCAGTAGGGACTGGCTGTGTTTCACACTCTACGTAAGGAGCTGGAATAAGACCTGTCTCTGCTCCAAGGGGCTTTACCCTTTTATTAATCCCCGTTGATGCAGTCTAAACATTCAAATAATTTGAGAAAAAATCTGAAGAACATTTTAAATTAAAGTCAGGATGTTTGTGTACCAAAGGGCTTACTATTTAACGTTTTTAATTCTTTGAAGCCTAAGGAAACCAACCCCAAACTGGCTTTTTCTCTTGGAAGATGCTTCCGACCCTGGGAGGGTTTTGTTCACATGCTTCTAACTGTACAGTTGTTGATAGTGCCTGGGATGAAGTTACCCGCTCTGATTTCTGGGGCAGACTGATTTCTTCTCTCGCTTCCCTTTGGCGTACTGAGAAGAGTCGGTTTCGTAGTTCATGTGCATTAGGGCACGTGTGATGCCTGGACATTCCCTTCTCAGTGTTTCAGAAAAGAGATTGCATCCCCCACAATCATCTCCACATTTAAGAAAACAAATTGTGTTTTATTTTAGAAATAATGCCTCCCTTAACCTTGGTCCAGTTATGGCTTTTTCTCATTGTTTCAGACTGGAAGCAGTGGAGTGCAGCACTCTGGTTATGGAAGAGGAGGCGTGCGGAGGGGATGACTTCTCTGAAGGCTGCCGCTAGCTGGTGGCAGAGCAGCGGCCCAAACCTGGACCCCCTGCCCTTTTCTTAAACCAGAAATGGGCTCCTTCCCAGGCCCCTCCACGCCCACCCCTCCCCTGGAGTGCAGTGCAGTGGCCCTGCGTTCACACGACGGCTCACTGGCTAGCGGAGAGGAGAGGGACATAACAGACAGACGCCGCAGTAGCAGGTGTGTGGCCGGCAGTTCCCCAGGAAGGACGGGCTGGCGTCAGGAGCCGTCCCGTGTGCTGGCCCGCGTGGCCGCGAGTGAGCATCGTTCCTCTGGGCTCCCATTCTCACTCTGATCCGGAGTCTCTCCCAGATCTCAGTTCTCTGTATTTCCACCTCATTTCACCCTGAGCCCCTCGGGCTGCCCTCTGAGGCCAGGCAGCCTCATGTTGGAATGAGCACTTAAATATACAGCGAGCGTTATAAGGCTTTTTGCTCAGGTCTCTCTCTACTTCATGGACCTTGTGCCTCCGCCTGGGGTCTCTGCAGAAGAGGGGGCCTCCCGCGCCTGGCCCTCCCTTTCAGTGTGCGTGGCATGCCTCCTGTGAGTGTGTCTACTCTGTGTCAGGGTTCAGGGCGCTCTGGCAGGGGCGGGGGGTGCCCACTGTTAGTGCGGGATCCCCGTGGATACTGTCAGTCACCCTTTCCCGGAAGGATTCCCCGCCGTGGATACCCTTCCTCTGCTCTTACAACATATCTCAATAGGACACAACCCCCTGTTGAAAAAATCCAGAGCCCTGAGACCGCAAGAACCCAGCAGAGTAGGCCATTCGTTTGATGCACTATTAACCAGTGTGTTATGGTGAGAAGACAGCCCCGCACCCCACAAGGTGGGGAACCTGTGGCCAGGACTCCAAAGAGCACCTGTCCCCTGTGATAAAGGTGAGCTAGAAGTCAGCCTGCCTGCTGAGGGAGGGAGGAAGCCAGGAAGGAGAAAGAGCAGGGAGATGAAGGGGTGGGGGGAGGCGGAGATGGAGGCCTGCAGCAGCAAGCAGGCTCCTGCAGGTTTGCAGCCAAGCTGCGCCCGGAGCCTTCCTGGGAAGTAGGTCCAGCCTAGGCCGGCGGAGCCCTGTCTGCAGGAAGACAGCGCTGGGCATGAGGAGGCGCCTGCGGACGGTGCTGGACGCGGCGACAGCACAGGTCAGCTTACCAGGCACAAGAGGAAAATGCGCACCAGCGCCAGATGCTG